CTCGTATTCCTTTTGATGAACTTTAAAAGCTTTAAAAAAATACCTCAAGTTGACCCAGATTGTTTTAATAGAATTCAACTTTTTTCATTCTTGGGTCTTTTTCTCTCATCTTTTTCTCAGAAATACACTATTTATGGACTGCTGGTCAGGCAATTTAAGGGGGAATTAACCACTTTGATGCATTCATCTTTAGCCAAAGTATTGGCAGTTTATGTCAACGTGGTGCATTACCAAGTCCTGCTGGGAAATGGAATCACCACCTCCATGAATATTGAGCAATCTCTGTTTCCACTGTGGCTGCCTATGTGCTCAATTTATTTATGGCTTCACAATCTTTTCAAGCATGCATTTTTTGCTGTTGCTTCAACCTCAGTCAACTTAGTTTTTATGTTTCTCCACTCTTTCTCCGAACTCTTTTGGTGCTTTCTAGATTGATTAAAAAATTGTACTTTGGTCAACATTTCAGTCTTTGAGTAAACCTAGGTTTGACTTTTCCAATGTTGCTTTTGGTTCATGACTAACTACACACCTGTGAGTGTTGTAGGCCTTGTCCTGAATCTGATCTGACTCTTGTGACTCTTCACTAAATTCTAAAAGGGACTTTGCTTTATGGTTCTCTCAAGGTTGCTTGTGCACCTTTTCTGCCACATGTTTTCCTTCCACTCAATTTTCCAATATATGTAATACTCTCATCTAGAAGGATAAACTGGACAAGAATTAACTCAGCAATATACCAGGTGATTGTCCTTAAATTAATATTTAGTTTTAAATAATGTTTTTTGGTCTGTTCCAACCTTCTGTGAAGCTGATTTTTGAGTTTTCATTAGGTGTGAGAAATAAAAATCAAAATAAACTGTAAACTGTAAACATTTTTTCTATACTAAATCCGGTTTATATTTTTCTCACCTCGAAATTCTAAATAACAAAACGTATTTTCAAAAACTTAAAAACATGACCAGAGTTAAAAGTTCAAATAAATACATGTTTGTAACACAAGATGGTAGGCACTGGGCAAGCTGCAATCCCTCTGAACTATGGAAGCTCAAGGAGTGCATTGACGAAAAAAAAAAAAATCTGGATTTTTACAAAATGAAATCGTCACTATACAGGAAATGTGATTAATCAATGAAATCGATTTATAGCCCACTCCTAACAGTTATGGGTTTGGGCTGATGTCTTGTCAACATTTTTCTGTTAATCATATACCTCAGCTTTTATCCACCGTGTTTTGTTAATCCGTCCTATTTCCGTTCATCCTGTTTTAACTTTGAAATGAGTTGGAACAAGATTGGAATCACACAGGAGCAGGTTTCAGATCAACTGCGAATCACTTGCTCTGCAGCGTTTCAAGGGAAACGCTGATGGGGCATCACAAAGGCGGCATGGCAATGTGATGTCTACCAGCTGGGGTTGTGATACAGTCTGAATGCACTTTGTGGTACTTTCTCAGCCCGTCACTCATCCCAGGAGGACAGAGTTTGATCCAAACTGAAAGACACAGTTTGCAGAGGGAGTACAGCCGGCCCTTCCTCCTCCTGGTCACTGTAATCTTTGGTGTCTCCTCCGAGTTAGGTGTAATCATTCACACACCGCTACGTGTTTTGACACCTGTCCTGCGTGGTGCAGAGGGAAGTAAGCATATTACTCGTCTCCTTTGGAAACACGCACGCAGACAATCAAAGCCATCGTCACATGAATTAAGACAGACAGGTGGATTGTCAGAAAGGGATTAAAAAAAGGTGGAGAGGAAGAAATGAAGGTTCTCTCATATTGTGGAGTATTTCTGAAAGGAAGGTTGGATGACTGGGTTGGGGAGTCACTGTTAATGGGAAGAAATGAACATGCCTGACTGGTGGATGTGACAGGAAGAGACTGTTCTTAACAAGGCGTCAGAGTCAGTCACAGTTACAGATCCATCACTTCTCAGGCTCGGCTAAGGGGGGAGGCATTTAAGGATATTCAGAGCGGGAGAAAATGTGTGACGGGTAAAGAGGAAGAGGGATTTGAGTGCGGCTGACAGCGCTGCATTTAATTTGGGCTGCCAGATCCTTTTTCGTTTGACTCCCTCTCTACCAGCTTAGAGGCTGCGGAAGACTCGGAGGCGAAGGTTTGCCAGGATGTCTCTGATTAGCAGTGATGTGCCACGTCACACTTTAAGCTGGCCTGTAATTCATGTTCAACAGGGGGATACTCACACATTACACTGCGCTGTGCAGGACGCGATTAATTGACTCACACTCTAATATTGGGTGTAATTTGCCCATCCTCTGATGTGAAACTGACTTTATACTAGACTTACTGTATGCTGCCGTCCCGAGGATGTTATAATTGAGTCTCAGCTCAGAGCTGTGTAATTTCTACACTGAGAATAGAAGCTCAAGGGTTGTATGAATCACTTCAGGTTGTCTTTCCACCTAATTCCATGGTCTTGAACATTTAGGCTAATATTAATTACAGCCAGATAGTTTGGATGTTTTAGTAGGATGTAGAGGTGTCATTTCTCTGTTCCCTGTTTTTAAGATCACGATTGCTGCTTTTACACGTATTTCTCTTAAAATCTATTTTACATCTTTTCAGACCATGCTTTTCCTGGCTACTGTGGAAGAGGAAGGCCAAGCCGAGGAGCGACGGAGGGAAATGGCCGAAACCCTGCTGTCTGCCCTGACAGACAGGCACCAGCAGAGGCAGACATGGAGAGACAGGTAACACCATGTATCTTGAATTTGGTCCCAGACACTCTACTCTTTAGGCAGATAAATAGGTCTGTGTCAAATCTGAAGAAGACAATGATATGCATGTTTAAAAGTAATACAGGGGCTGCTGTGGAGGCGCAGGTGTACAACCCACATATGAAGACCTTAATCCTTGACGTGGCTGTCGCAGGTTCGATTTCCAGCCTGACGACCTTTGCCGCATGTCTTTCCCCTTCTGTCATTACCCACTTTCCTGTCAATTCACTAGCCAATAAAACCTTTAAAAAAAGTAATCCGGAAAACTGAAAAAGTTTGGACAAATAATTTTTTTCTCCAAAGTCCAAATATGTGTTCTTTAGGTTCAAATTAAGCAAACATTGTATGTTTGTGTTTGTTTGTTTTCTATATTAAGTTTTATGCACTAATACAGAAAGATTACAAGGATTTGTCCTCATAGTATAAAACCCATGAAATAATATAGCTCCTTAACTTTTTAGACTGGATATTTTGTCAATCAGTGAGTAAAAAGAGGAACTTAGTTGATTGCAAAGGAGTCTAAAAAGCACAATTTTCAGTTATTTGAAAACATTTTTTGATTGTATACTATATATTGAGGTTATATCAAAATGTGACAATATTGCTGACAAAGTGGAGCCTGTCTTAGGAAGCACTATTTAGTTGATGTCAGCATGTTACTTGATCTTAAACAAGTTCACCCTCCTTTGAAGTAAGAAAGGAAGAAGTTCCTCAGTTGACCTGTTGTATTGACTGAGTCAACTTGTCAGGTTGGTTGAAAAAAAGCTCAATTACACAGGGATTTCTAACATGGCGTTACCATTTGTGTTGTAATATTTAGTTTTTTGAGGAAATAAAAAGAACTAACAGACAAGACTCAAACCATTTGATAACTTGAAAAATGATCCATGCAGTGACTTGCTTGCAACAGTAGAATTGGTGGAAACAGAGTGATGGGTTGTCGTTGACAGGAAAGGGGTCTTTCATTGTTTTTCAAATTATCCTTTGCTGTGATTTTTTCCTTTTGTGGCAGTGTCATGATGTCAAGTGTAGGCCTGTCACGATAACAAATTTTGCTGAGCGATTAATTGTCTAAAAAATTTTGCGATAAACGATAATATTGTTTCAAGACCTTTTGACACTGATTTAATGAAATGCGATTTCCTGCCATAGATAGATACACTTTATTTTCAAAAGAACACATAACACTGGAACTGATAAACTAAATAAAAAAAACAACGTACTTGAATAAAAACTAAACATCATAAAAT